CGCTTGAATTTATTTTTCACATTATTCGTCATTAAAGCTACTATAGTAAGAACAGAACAACTCCAATGAACATGAGTTGATGATTCCTGGCGAACTGCGACAAATGGAACCGAAGACCGAGACGCATTTGACTCACCATTCGGCACTGGGTCATACACAATAAAAAGTACAGTCGATAAGGGTCATAACCATCAGTATCCTGAAAAGCGTGGTAGTTATTCCGCATGAAATGCAAACCGAAGCTGAGCCCCCGTGTTGGGATAGCATTAATTTGGCACACATGTAACAGAAATCGCATTTGAAACATGTCATAGCAACTCCTGGTAGCACACCAGGTAATGAATGGAGTAATCGGTAATTATTCTTTAAAACACCGCAAATTCCTTCGGTAGTTTTGTTAATTCTTGACCAGTGATGGAAAAAACCAACCGCACTATTTTACATGCTACTCACAAATGTGAGTAGCACCTCACAACACTCGGTTGCTTGTCACCGCTTTTCAAGCGACCAAAGTAAGAACTACATTTTCTAAGGTTCGGTATCGAAGCTCGGATCCTAGACATCGGTTCGAATCGGCAATTAGAATGCACAAAGCCCATGCCGAAAGGAACCAGAGTCGGAGTCATTCACGCGGATCCTGTACACAATAAACCTTACTACAGACAGTAAAAGCAGCATACTCATTTTTTCACGTCACCAACTAAATATTCGACTGGATGGAAAGAAAGGATACCCTTGGCAATCACCGCTTGACTGCAAACCAAACCGATCGCGAACAACTCCTATTTGCTTGCGGTGCGCAAAAGCGGTTCAGTTTGAACCATTAACCACGCGCTTTCGTGCTGCGATTCAGGTTGTCAATTTGGATGAAGGGCCATAAGGATATTACCAACGTTCAGAGTAGTGTGGAGGTGAATACGATATAATTTATACCAGCTATTGCTCCAATGTTATTGAGTAGATTCGTGAGCGCCCGTAGCCAATAAGGTGCTGTCCCATCCACGTTCCGCTTATCCCACTAAATGTATGGGACAAAGGGCCGATCCTGAACAAAGGACCGATAATCAACGCACTAGCGTACACAACTAATCGAAATTCAAAGGCTTTGCGTGACAGATCTCCAGAAACTCACACGGGTGCTTCGTTCAATCTACCGCTCTGGGGCATAAATATGCCCCAGTCTTGTGGGTCAAACTTTTGAGTCAAGGGCTCCGGTTAGGGTTCCCAAAGAAAAACCCCTTCGTCGGTGTGGTCTACCGCGAAGTATGTCGTGCCCTGAAGTCTTAGGCACCCATTCGGAAAACCCCCCTTTCCGTCTATCTAGTTCTTCCTCTCAATCCCAAACGCCTGTTGTTTACAAGACCCATCGGATATCACCCAGCGTTTTACCAACAAGTCCAAACATTCAGAAGTTAAAAGATTTTCGAAGCCGAAATTCCCTTTTCACTTAACCGCGTTCAAAGTCCGCACGCTCTATTAGATTGGCCAACAAGATGCCCTGGCTAAAACTCTCGAAACTTTCAATATAGATGTATGTTGTGTCTCCGAAACACGTACAAGACCCCACTTCCATTATCTCTCCGTGTTCTCCTGATGCAACCTCATCCTCACGCTTCACCCTTCGTGTGTCAGGCGATTCGGTGTCCGAAGCTCGCGGTGTTGCTGGTGTCGGGATTGCGCTAAGTGCCAAGGCTGATAACTCACTTCTCGACTGGATTCCAATCAGTAGCTGACTGTGCGCCGTACGTCTCAACCGTTCAGCGCGGGTTAACTGCTACAGAACGAAGCGTCGATGTATTTTCGTCGTGTCGGTGTATACACTGACCGATTGCAGTACACCTGAAATCAAGAATGAATTTTACAAGGACCTTTCTCGATTACTCCAAAGCGTTCGATCAACAGATATCCTGGAAATCGCCGGAGACATCAATCCTCAAGCGGGTTTCCTGGGCGAATCAGAGGCAATCCCAGGTAACCGGACGGACAACGGAGATCACCAACTTCAACTCTGTGCCGATCACGGACTGTTGCTGTCAAACACGAACTTCTCGCACAAGAAACGACACCGCCTTACATGGAAACCACCAACTTCCTCACAGCACTGGACCCAAATTGTTATCTGTTACTGGTGTCCGGGTTTCGTATATAATGGCGTTCGTGCATCTCAATTTCTATATCATTAGTCCACTGAACTTTTCAGTTTTCTTTTCGATCCTACTTTCAATCTGTCTTGTATTTCTCCTAATGCTCATCAAAATGGACAGCCGAAAGATAACCAAACCCGGTGCACTATGGTGCATAGTTAATGGTTGTACAAACTGAATTGGCCAGGTCTGTGCACCATTAAGCGGTATTAGCGGAACTGTTGCAATACACAACTGTTCATGCTCATTCGGAAATCGGTGGTGATGTGGTGTCTCATTTTGGCAATTGAGCCTTCTGTACGCGATACGATACTTCATTCACGGTGCACCCACCAGATGAGATGTAGCTATCAAAATGACAAAACCTGTACTAAGAGCTCCTTAGTTTGGGGAGGGATGAAACTAACCTTGCAGCAGCGTTTTACACAGCGAAGGTGCAAAACACACCGAACATGGTGACACTACCTATAAGATTACAACCCACCGGGCTCTCCACCCAGAGATGCAATGACGTCCGCATTCCCCATCGGACACTTTGATACCCGGGAGCAAATCAAAGGCGCTTTCCTGCACGAGTTCAGTTTATTTAAAAACCCTGTTTTACATCTTCTCACGGAACCAAATCAATAATCAACTGACCGCAGCACGCTAGTGATACCAAGAGATCACCGTCNTCGAACATAGCTTTATGGGATGAACTCGGGCGAAAGAGTGGCGCAAGCTTTATCGCAGTCAAGAAGGAACGGAAAAAGGCAGCAGTCTTCGAAGTGTACAAGGGACCCACTTGATTGGGTGATTACCCGTTGCTGAAAGATGATTGTTTCACTCAATTCATTGCCAACGACGATCTTTGATTTGTTGACCGTAGAAGACAATCTTCAGCTATTGGTTCCGAGTTCCGTTTGAATTATATCTAGGCATCCAGAATTCACTCACTTCGAGTTTATGAACTACTATTTCTGAAGGGCTTCCCAAACGTAGACCAACTCAAGGTATAGAAGCTACAACGCTTATTCAAGATGGCGGCAGAAAGGGAAATGTATTTCACTGCGTCCAACAGAGAAAACCAAGCCCCCAGATAAAAATTAGGTCCGGGAGTGTTACACATGTCCCTTAAAAAACAGCAGTCATCTTTGGAGGAACAGCAACAGCGACACGGGGAACGCAGAGATTGGACCGTAAAAAGTCGCAGATTTACTCGTGAATGTCTGTGACAAGGATCGAGAGCAAGGGAATGGGAGTGCAGGAGGCATTTCGGCTAAGACAAGACCAAAAAGCTGAAAGAGAGTGGCGACTAAGTTTACTCTCCACAGTCGTATTCTTTTATGAGATGGACAGTGCATAGTGAAACGACTTTTGGCAGTGTCCGTGCATTAAGAAATATTCATGCACGCACACAGACGAGCAAACTCGAGAGGAAGGGGCGTGGAACAGAAGTCCATGAAATAGGTATGTCAAAAAGAACGGAACCGAGGATATGGTCACTGGTAAGGGGGTGGTGATCAGATTCACGAAGAAACAATGGTTGAAAGAGAACGGGATAACCCGAAAGCGGGATAAATTACAAAGAACAGATCCATTCTAAGCTGAAAATGTCTATCGCGTGAGGGTGAATGAAGTTATTAGATCAGTTCGTGACAACATGAATTTAGTTGCGGTTAGGCCGGAGGATGAATGGAGATGTGAACGAGACAAGCAAGCACAAGCACTTGTTTGGTACATGGGGCAAGAACCATAATGGGTACAGGACTGAGTTAGAGAGTGGGGAGAACTGGCTTGAGAGAGTAGCCCGAGACCGATAGAGGTGCCGGCGCTGTGGGCTGTGGATAACCAGGAAGAGCAGATACGCCCGAGGGTCCAACCGCGCCGGGTATGACTAAAGTGGAACCTCCGTGATTATTCACGGTCCCCATACTACGAGAAACCATTTGAGGGCCAGATGACTGGAGTGAACGATGGCCATGTACATGAGGATGAGTTTGAATACCCATATTTGAAAAAGAATGCGATTGTACGTTCGAGTGAAAGGCGCCTGGTGGAGCAACAGATGATTCGGTGGAGAAGTTGTTTGGATATCCCATCTGAAAAGATATAAGGATAAATGTGTTAAGCTTGCCCGCTCGATAAACTAAGATTCTTAATTTAGTCTAGAGGATAAATAATTCACAACAAACTTTTTTCAAAACAATATGAAAGAGCGATTCACAACATAGCACGATGTATAGCCAATTAGAACTGACCTCACGTTACACTTACTTGCGAATGTAAGGGTGGTGGTGTGGGTTGATTCGGAGAAGGACCGTAGGTCGCCGCGTACAAGTTACTCTGAGGATTTACAAAATTGTGTATGTTGTTCCGCCCCTGCGCACTGGGGAACTGTTGAAGATGAACTCGTTGATGTGATGGTGATAACGACGGATAAAATGTGGAGTGCAACTGATATTGTTGTTGACCTTGTGCAGACGGAGAATGAGCGAGGTTATGGGCTGGATACAAACTTTGAGGAATCCCACGTTGACGACCAGCAGTTCCCGACAGATCACTTGCATTAGGACGTCCACCTCCGATCACCCCGACACAGCTAGGGTGAGTCATATAAGTTGAACCCGAAGAAGAGATGGGTGCGGCTGGGTTGTTGAAACCCTGTGCCACGGGGTGTGGTAAAAGTCCACCGCCACCACCAGTAGTCCCACCACCTGCACTGCCAATAGCAGCAGGTGGAATTCCACTACCGTATTCGTTACTAGAAGCTTGCATACCAGAGCCGCTGGAATTTCCAAGGAGTGACCATGCAGCCCCAGTAGATGAACCCATGGTAGACCTAGTGGAACCATGGTGGTAATTATTTTGTGGTTGACCTTGCATTGCTGAATAAAGACCTCCGGAGGGGGGAGCAGGTACGCATGCAGTCACGGAAGGTAAGAAAGTGTATTCGTTCTGAAAACAGACACAATGAACACCAATGAAGCTTACCACAATTCATAGAAGTAGCACGAATTAAACATGAAATTGTTTCTCGCATGTTTTCCAATGTTCTGAAGTGGGCAACAGAAAACAGCTGATGGTAAGATTATTTCCCGTTCACAATATAGGAAACGAAGCGATCTGAGAGGCACTAACTTTGTAGGTCATTTTTTTTACGTGTTAACAATGATGTAATTCAGCTAATTTCACCTCATTTTATTTGTAAACTACTTCCCCAGGAAAGATAGCTTGAATTCCTGGATTTTATCCACAATGAATCGCGGGGTTAGAATATGAAGCCATTCAAGAATGTCGCGAACCTTGATCGCCTAATGCAGTGTAGGAGACAAGTAAACATCATATTAAGTGTGCTTCTAGAAATCAAACAAACAAGTGAAATCCAGATAGCAGAACTCTCTTCAGACAAGACTACGATGCCGTTTTCTCGCCGCTTCCGTGAATTTAACGGGTGAATGAAACAAGACAAACATTGAGTTTATTTGTAGTGGTGTGCCGCGATTATGTCACACATGGTTCGAAAAATTAGGCGGTAAATTAGCGGAATCCGGGGGCATTACACAAATCAATTGTACAAGCACTTAAATTATATATCCGACAACAGCAACTAGTCTCTGTGAGTATAACAAACACTTACCGGCACTTCCGTTGGGAACGGATAGCCCCCGAATGATGACATATCCAGTTGGTGGGCAACACGCTGGCGGAAGCGAGGGCCATGCGTCATGTTTTGTGAAATCGGATTGGGTTGTGCCGCTGGCGGAACTGCCCAGCCAGCTGAAAATGAACCAGCCGGTTGAGACTGTGGATTAGAAGAAGGCTGTTGTGGTGCTACATACATCTGACCACCAATTGGAGTGAAAGCTGTGTGCGGCGCTTGTGAAAGAGCATTTGACGATGAAAGTTTGCCCACATCACTTAATGAACTTCCGTAAACCCCTGGTAAGTGTTGTGCATCTCCAGCAGGCGCAGAAGGGTGGCTGTAAGGCTGTACAGAGAAGGGCTGGTGTCTGGGAGCCAGTGATACAGGGTGTGTTGCTTTAGTGGGTAAGTCAGCAGCTACTGAGACGCCGGATGGTGAACTGAATGTTCCGTCGGATGAAA